GCCTCCTCGGCGGCAGCGGGGCCGGCAGGCGATCCGGGGGCGTCGGAGCGGCCAAGAGGGGGGCGTCCAAGAGGGGGGGGTGCAAATCATGGCCGGCGGCATGTGCGCGGCCCAGCGGGGGGGCCAGGGACGTAATGAAATAAGAAGAGGCGCCATGAAATCTGGGGGAATATCATGGCCCCCGCCATGATATCCACCCCCCCTAGTCATCACCCCCCTCTTTTCCGCCCCCGAGGCGGGGAGCCAACGCCCAAGATCGATCGGCAGGTCGATCCCAGATCTCGCGGCTATTATGGGCCGCTTCCCTGTGCAGTCGGCCCTTCGTCCACGAACCGCTTCCCGGCGGTCCCCCGAGGGGTCCCCGGGCTCCGGAAGAGCGGCGCAAAGAGCCGCCGCCTCGAGCCTTGATGTCTTCGACACGTGGAGGTCCCGGCACGATCCCAGGGCCCAAGCTCGATCGACCGATCCCTCCTCCCTCCTCCTCCTCCTCCCTCCTCCCTTCCTCCCTCCCTCCCTCCTCCGTCCTCCCTCCTCCCTCCTCCCTCCTCCCTTCCTCCCCTCCTCCTCCTCCTCCTCCTCCTCCTCTCCTCCTCCTCTTCCTCCTCCTCCTGCTGTTCCCCCTCCCCCCCGAACATCTAAGATCGATCGGTCGACCGGGCTGCACCCTCCGCCCCTCCTGCTGCAGCGACCGCCGCCGCCGCGGCGGCCGCGCGCCGCGGTCACGCCGCAGCAGCGCCTGCCGCGCGAAGTTGCGGAGGCCGCAGCTCGATCGACCGATCGATCGATCGGTCGCGGACTTTGGTCCATGGCTTGGGTTCGGCCGATCTTGGGTCTTGGATACCAGAAGGACAGCGGCGAACCTGCACCGATCCTGACCAGGCCCATCCTGAGCCCAGGATCTGTGTGGGCAAGAGGCGGTCCTGGACGTCGAACGGACTGATGATTTCAATCGCGGCGGTTTCCTGCAATTTCGGCCTCTGACACATGTTTTCGCTTCCCCAGGCCGTCAAAATTGCATCCGGGACGCAAAACAGGGACCAGGAATCAGCCATGGACCCTGGGATCGCCAGGTAGGGGGAATAGGTGGGCCCACTTCTCGGTCCTGCGTGGGGTGTGTCTCCTTGCGTGGGGTGTGTCTCCTTCCTCTCCTCTCCTCTCTCCTTCCTCTCCTCTCCTCTCCTCTCTCCTCTCTCTCTCTCTCTCTCTTTCTCTCCATCTCTCTCTCTCTCTCTCTCTCTCTCTCTGCTACATATGTGGTTGCCCATCAGTCCAGGCGCTGGGGTGTGATGGCCCAGGCCCAGAGTCACGAGGCTGCGTTCTCGTGTTGGGTAATGATTCAGCCATATTGGATCATACTGAATCAGTTGGATCGAAGGTACAAACAGCTCTTAATAATAATAATTATATTAATAAGAATAATAATAATAATAATAATAATAATAATAATAATAATAATAATAATAATAATAATAATAATAATAATAATAATAATAATAATAATAATAACAATAATAATAATGATAACTACTACTAATACTAATAATATTAATAATACTAATAATACTAATAATTGCTGCCAGTTCTAAAAAATCAAACAAGTCTAATGATTTCAGAACTTCTGCTGGCCCGTGGCGTTCCGCCCAAGATTCTTCGCCTGAATCTTGATTTTTGGGATTTTTTTGACCTGTCAAGTCTTTTGCGGTTTTCCGGGATATGTTTGGTTGTTTAGACCTGTCAGCACCTTCCTGCTCCTCCTCCTCCTCCTCCTCCTCCCTCTCTCTCCTCCCCCTCCTCCCCCTCCTCCTCCTCCTCCTCCTCCTCCTCCTCCTCCTCCTCCTCCTCCTCCTCCTCCTGATATCTGGGGCCGCTCCTCCCCTCAATAATCTTGAACGTCTTCAAGAGAGCCAGGCGGAAGGCCATCGCCGGTTGCGGCCTCCAGGGGGCTGTTTCTGCGGGCCCTGGGGCCAGCAGGAATCAGTCCAGAATGACAAGATCATCACCCGAAGGGGTCAAGCGTTCTGGGGGCACATGTTGACAAGAAACAAAACTGGGGAGACGAAAAAATACCCGTACCGCAACTCCCTGGACCTCTCCCGGGTGCGTTCTGACCAGCATTTCGAGGCGAGTCCCGCGGTGGCGACGAAGGCCCCCCAGGACGCCCACAACGGCGAAAACGAGGCGAGGTCAGCGGTAGCGGTACCTTTTTCTTCGACTGGGAAAAACACACGCACACACACACACACACACACACACACACACACACACACACACACAACACAACACACACACACACACACAACACACACACACACAACACACACACACACACACGCACACGCACACGCACACGCACACGCACACGCAAATACACTCTCTCTCTCTCTCTCTCTCTCTCTCTCTCACACACATGCACACACCCACACACACTTATTGCGCCGGCGGCTGGGCAGAGTCTGACTGCTCTGGCGATCTGGCATCAATGGGGTGCGCTAGATGCAAATTGGGCCGCAGTGCACGTGGGCAGAGGAAGAGACCCTGGCGCGACGGGAAGAGAGGAAGCCGGGCCCGCTCAGGCAAGTCGCCAGCTGCGGCGGAGGCAGCGCCAGGGGAGGGGCCAGCGGCGGCGCCAGGCAGCAGCTGGGGGGATGGCAGCCCAGAGGAGGAAAGGCAAAGCCAGATGGGGGAGCAGACACCACCTGCGCAGGTATCGAGGCCAGACCAGTCGAGAATACCAACCTTGACGGAGTCCGTGGGGGCTGACATCGGACGGGCAGCAAACTGCTGCGAGGAGAAAAGCATGTCAAATGTAGATGCGGTCACCACAACGATGGGGGAGCCAGCGGAGCAGGCGAACCCGGGGCGAGGCGCCGAGATCTGATGACCTACGAGGCGCCGCGGGGGGCGTGAAGGGCGGAGCGCAGGCTGCCACGAGCACTCTTCGAAGCGCGGGGGGAAGGGCAGTGCACGGCGCCACGGCAGCGCGGCAGCAACCCACCCACCAGAAGACCGGTGCACGGTCGAGAGGCTGGCCTCAAAAAACCAGGCAAGCGGGGGGAGGACCAAGCAAGAGGTAGCCAAGGTCACCCGGCCGGCACGGGGCGCGGCACAGCGGAGGAGGGTGCCACAGGCGAAGCTTACACAGAACCTGCAGAAGGCCGGCGAGACCCCGGCCAAAGTGGGGGGGTGCAGCGGCAGGGCAGGACACCCTTCAGGTAGGCATGGGGGAGGGCCCAGGGGCCAACGGCGGGCGGCAAGTCCAGCCCACCGAGGCGCACGCAGCGGCCGTTCCCAGGAAGGGCGGCTGGGCCTGGTCGGCGGCAGGCGGGGACGCGCAGAGGCGACGCCCCAGGCGGTAGCGAGGGGCCCGCGAAGGGGAGGGCACCGAATAGGTGCAGCGCGGCGGCGAAGGGCGAAGGGGGAGCAACGGAGGCGGCAGCCGCGGGGCCAGGGAGGTCGGGCGGCGAGAGGAGGCATAGCCCCGAGCAGAAGCTGGAGGCACGCGCGGGGGGCACCGAATAGGCGCAGCGCTGCGAAGGGAGAGCTGCGCGGGACAGGGCGAGAGGCCAGGAAGGCCAATGCCAGCCCCGTGGACAAAGGACTCAGAAAGGGTCGAGGCCGCGCCAGCCATGGGGGAGCCACCAGCGGTGGCTGCTGGAGACGGACCACCGCTGGCGAGTGGGATCGTTGCTGGGCCAGGACGTGTCGGCAGGATGCTTGCCTTTCCCCTGGGGCGGAGGGCCCTTCCCTTTGCCTTTGGCGAGATCAGCGCATCGCCGCCTCTGCTCCACTTCACGATGCCACTCGGCGCCCCAGTCGATGCGGATGCCCCTGTATCTGCATGGGGCGCGGACATCGTAGATGGCCTGGATTAAGTGTACACAACCCTGGCAGAATTCGGTTTCGTGCCAGTCGGGGTCCCTGGAGGAGCACGGCCCCTTTCCCAGATCGCATACTGCGTTCCAGCCGATCGCCAGCATGGGGCCGCATTCCTTTTCGAGGCGGCTGACCACCTCATGCCAGTCCTCTCTAGCATTGGTCTTCTAGTTCGAGGCGGGCTGCCACTCCACTCTATGCCGCGGCTTGTAGTAGAGTTGATCCGTGGCCTCGCATTTGGACCGGTGGTCACGATAGGGGAACGGTTGACGGGGCGCTGGCCCCCGTCGCCAAGGCGACGCCCGCTCCGCGGCGCCACCTTCTGGATGAACCCGGGCTGCGCTGCCCATCGGTCCGGGATCTCGCGCACAGGCCCCTCCCCGGCGGCCTGCGGGGCGTCTCCGCCAGACGGCTCCGCCTGCAGCGACTGCCCGCGGTCGGGGCTGGGAGATGGGCGCGCGCCAGTAGGTTGAGGGGAACTGCTCGGGCTGCGGCGCCTATCGCCACGGACGATCGCCGGGCTGCCAGGGGGAGGTCGCCCCCGCGGGCTCCAGTCGCAGGCTGGCGCGATGGGGCGAGCACGGGGCGCCAAGGGAGGGGGGCTGGAGCTGCTGTCGCTCCGATGGCATCTAGCCTGGGTGGGGTCTTTTGGCGCTTCAGACGGACGCGCGCGCCCGCCCCCAGTGTCAGCGGGTGCCGACCTGGACCCCGGCGACGGGCCGGCTGGGCGACAGCCAGGCCGATTGATCCCGCGCCTCGAGGGTGGCGAGGCGGCGGCAACCCGAGCTGCGCGGGGCCCGGCGCGGGGCTGCTGGGCTGGCTGCTCCCACCTTCTGCGGCTTCTCAGTGCCGGGGGCGGGCGGGCGCCGCGACCGGGGGAGCGGCGCTGACTGCATCTGGGAGGGCCAGATTCCTCCTTGCCGCCGTTGCCAGAAGCTCGCGGACCAGCGGGTTCTGGGGCGAAGCGATGCCCCTCGAGCTCTACAACCGAGCAGGATCTCGCGGCTGTACCAAGCGGGGTCTCGTCCTTTCACTTACGCTTAGGGGTCGCGCTTGCTGCGGTGCGCACCCCATTCGTCGGGCCCCTTGTGCCCTTGTGAGCGCTGGGGGATCGCGGGGCCTCCGAT